TATGTATGCATGCGTGCTGTTCCTCCTGAGAGTTTGTTGGTGGGAGATAAGCGTAAAATTTTTTGCGCTTTTCTCGTTGTGCTTTGTATGCGGTTTATTACCGTAGTGACCAGGAATTAAGTTATGGATACTTTACCAATTGAACCAAGCAGGATACATAATTTGGTTCACTAAAATTTACGACTGTATGATAATCTCCCTTTGGTTTTATGACCGAATTGCTTGAACTATTACTGCTAAGCGTCAGCTGCTGTCGACATCGCTCAAAAGGAAACTTGAGGAAAACTTCATTCCCTTCACTCTATGGTTTAAAAGAATAAGCACATTCATCTTGTAGTTTTCATATTATATCGATTAAGAGTTATCTCATTGTCACTACTCGTATTACTGGTAGACGTTCCAAAAGCACGCCACGTGGAAAGGAATATACCATTACAGTAGTTGGTCGTGTAATATATCGTGACGTGTATATCATTTGAGGATTTTAAGCTGCACCCCGAAGAACACACCATACAGCTGGAATTGATGAGATCGGCAGTTGTAATTTAGCCTATTCTTGAGATCTTGCATGGGACACGGTTACCGGTAGATTCTCTCACTGAACGCTTGGCGTTAGGAGTTGCCAATATGCAGAAATAGAAAACCTTGATTTTGGTTCAGGGATGGCCTTGCGTTAGGGCCTGCTTTGGGGCCTGCGTTTGTGTTTGGGCCTGTGTTTGGGCCTGCGTTTGGGCCTGCGTTTGCGAAGCTTTTGCGCGACATCTCACGCCAATAACCAGGGCTCAAAACCTTTGCACGATGAGTACCCTAAAGAGCCATGGTTACTTTGACCAGAAACACTTCGTGTCACACATGAAACTGGAAGCAGAAGCCTGGCTGATAAAATCTTGGCTTATCAAGCCTACAAGGGATGTCTGTTTGCCTCGAACGACAAGAAACATGTAATTTGAGAACTTTGGTATCCTCTACGAGTTGGTATCCTGAAACTGGAAGGCAGGATCATTGGCCGAAGTCGGGTAGGAATCATGATGGAAAGTGCTTGAAAGTTGGTTTGAAGGGAATGAACCGCGGAGTGTGAGAGATGAGCAGTTCAGATTTCGGGAAGTAACGTACCAGAAGTGATCTGGAAATGAATTTTGAAACAAACAGAGTAACATGAAAGCCATTTGTAAGTTTAAGATCCTGATCTCTTAGATATGTGCTGTAATATCACGATTTAACGCTGTCTATTTATGGAAAAAGATCCCCTGTACAAGGACACATCTACTATGAGCTTTTTAGGAAAATTTCGGCCAGATCTCCTTTCTATAACGTGAATTATACATGACCAAGAAAGTTGAAAGTATCTACCTATACAAGTAATCAACGAGTTAAACAACTACATAGATAGTAACTACGTTTATTCCATGACTTGGTATTCAGGTAAATCATGGCACATGGAAACAATATACAGTAGTTATATGATAACAACCAAATATCAAATGTACAATAATTTGCACCAATCCTCAGCATTCATTTCTCCGTTTATGCCATCTTTTTCCTTGTCGTTTACATCTTGCTCGTGTATGTGGGACTAATTCGAAGTCCCCCAATGATTGGTCTGAACCATATGTTATTATGACCAATGGCCAGTAACCAATTCCACTATCTTGTAAAGTTTTCAGGGCTGGATAAATGGAGCTTAACAGCTGATAAGTACGAATTGAGAGTGTGCTCTTCGTGATTCAGCTTATAGTCTTCAAAAAATAATGATACCACAATGTATCACACAATCAGCAAGTAAACAGTTTCTCATGCAGTTCCCTTCCCCTTCAAGCACCGGCTAGATGTTACTAGCATTATGAAATAATGAGATTAAAATAGCTCCTAATCAATATGGTGTGAAAATGTAAGAAAAAAGGTTAGTTCATGATTCAAGTTGTTTCAATAAAACATAAAAGAGGTGTAACAACTGTTAACTGCTACATCAGTTTATAATGCTATTAATTCTGAAATACATCCACAAGTCGAATCCGAAGGTCAATTATCACAGAAAGCTATGGCAATTATGTAATTGCTTAGCAGTCTCTGCTAAACACACTGCTTCATTCATATTTGATGTCTCTTTGGAGTCAGCTGAGGGATGAAATGACTTTACCTTGGATGAATCAACAGCAATTGTTTCTGTCACGGCTGGTACAATTCTTATCGATGGTGAAGATTACTCTATTGACTAAAGTACCGCAGAAAAGTTGAAAGCAACGTACACTGGTACCAAAGGCAATGAGTCTGTGATGAATCTTGTTTTCGCTGACTGGACAGTTTCTGACTCTGTAATATGGATTACTAAAGGTTCTGGAATTGGAACAGAAAACAACAACAAGGAGAAGTCATTCACTACCGAGTCTGTGACTATTTTGGATTTCAATAATGAATCGTCAAATGAATTGCCTGAGGATAAATCTGAAGAAACCCCCGGAGAGTCATCTGAAGAACCAATAACTGCTAGCTCAAGCGAACCTATCACTGATTCTACCGAATCCTCCTCTGAATCTGAATCTGAAACTCCAACAGAACCTGTTATCAGCGGTGAATATGACGCTGAAGCTGAGACTGCAGCTTGGAGCATTGAACTTCCTGGAAATCTTGGACCATGGGAGTCTGTTGATGTTACTATAACAAAGGACGTGGATGACAGCGGAGAATTTGATTTCGTCTCTGCCATTGCATATATCAATGGCGAATTGTATTCATCTGCGGAAATCACTTTAACTACCGACAGTATTACCCTTTTGATCTCTGAAGCTATTGGTGTGGACGACATACTCAGTATTGATTTTGTTGCTGACACTTCCAGTGGATACCAATGGACATCTCTTGCCCATATTCTTATGACTGTTCCAGATGAGAGATTGATGAAGAGAGCTGTTGTCGAATGGGACTTGTCTTCGACTGTTGTTAATGAGGCTGCTGTTCCATCTTCTTCCAAATCTGAACCTGCCTCCGAGTCTCGCTCTGAATCTTAGTCAGAGTCTGTGTCTGCTTCTTACTCCATCAACTCCAAATCTACCTCTTTATCACCAGACGTTACGTTAATGTCAATCACAGACAACAAGCAATGCAGGAAGCACTACCCTTATACCCTTATTAGCATCACAAGCTGTGAGGGTTATAAGTGCTCTCAAACCAAAGGTCCTACTGGAGTGGTTGTTGTCACTGAGATTATTTCTGGTATCATCACTTCTTACACAATCTACTGTCCAGAGACCTACTTCATCAAGACTTACTTTGAGAAGATCGTTTGCGTTACCATCCCATGTGAGGTTTGTGAAGAGGGTGCTGCTGCTATAACCAAGACCATCGAATGTGAGGATGAGTGTTACGATGTTATTGTCACCCAGACAAAGACCATTGTTACTGCTACTGGTGGATCAGTCATCCCTACTGGTGTTGCTAAGACATACATTACTGGTGCCGAGGCGACTGCTACAATTGTTACTGTTGTTAGCACTGTTGGTGGCTCACATCTGACTGCTGTTGCTGTTGAAAACTACGGTGTTGCTGTCGATGATATTGCTTTTACGAAATCTGGTAATGGTAAGGTTGTTGTTGGAGGTACTATTGCTTACTTCAGGCTCTGTTATTGTCGAGACCACTGAGATCACAGTGACTATTCCACTTAAGACAGAAACAGGTATTTCTGATTCCTCTGGATCATCTGGATCGTCTGGTTCTGAGACTACTGTAGATATTCCTGCTTATTAATGTGTAACAGCTAAGAAGTCAATGATTCAAGTGCTTTCTTCCCTTCTTTTCGCTGTTGCTTTGATTTAATTTCAAGTCGTTGGCAATATGTTTTTTCCATTTCAGACTGGATTCTTTTGAAACATTTGACTTCCAACTTTGTTCAAGTTTCCTGCGTATTTTCATTCCATTGGGTCCCATTATTTTGTTTCTTCCTTTATAGGTGGTTTTGAGCCCTAGGATCTACGTTCAGATGCATTCTTTTGTACTCTTATAATGACATGCATTCTTCAGATTTGTTATATCAATTGTAGGCCTTGCAAGCTTCAGTTGGTTTACCGGTCTACCTTTGATGTCTTTTGGAAATGAGTAAACCGCTGTTACCCCAGGGTTGTGTCTCTCTCGATGTGAAGTCATCAATTGTTATCATTGGCTGGTCTTTTAAACATTCCTATACTTGTGCATGCTTCTCTTTCGAAGGCCTTCGAAAAATGCCTAAAAGAATTACATATATCTATGTCTATATTTCCTGGATCAAGATGTGACACATTAGTGCGAGAAGCCTTTCAGATCAAGTATACAGGTTGATTAAAGTCAGATCAGGAGGGCAGATATTTTACGCACTTCTTGGTGAGGTTCGAAAACTCAACTTTAAGGGATTCGATTCACAATGTTCTTTAAAATGTTATGATGACGCCAATGGTTTCTTCCTCCACTAACTTTGCTATTATATGAAGAGATACATAGTAAATGCACAAAGGTTTAGAATTCAGAGAAAGGTCCTAACTAATGGGATATGATTGACTGTGTATAAAATAATGGACAAATTCGGAAGCACCCAAGATCCACTAACTCAAGAACTATTAGCCATATCAAAAAAACTGTCTATAGTATCCTAATACTGGAAACATGTAGTCTTTATGAGCTGAAAGTGCTACAACTCTAACTTCTTCCGGTAAAATTTCTATATGGCTCTCTTTAACTTATTAATAAGAAGTAATAATAATGTGAAGTTGCGATGTTAATATAAATGAATATTATTTGGTTCATTAAAAGTTCTGATGTAAAATAGTGCCTTTAAATTTTTTCAAAAGATGATGTGGAATCATAAAATTGATTTTTTTACACTAAAAAAGTTCATAATATATATTATATACATTAACAGAAACCACATTAGATCATCAACAGCAGAGTAGCTGTATTTTGAACCATGAATTCGCAAAATTTACTATAATGCTTACAATGTCATAGTATGTGTGTAGCACACCAAAAGAAATATTTGGTGTCCGGATGTATTGCTGCCCCAAATAGTGGTATCGTTAATATTCTATTACATAAGCAATAATATCAACAAACCACAGTTCAAATTCCCCCAAAGTATACCAATTTATAGCTAACACTCCAACAAAGAGATCCGCTAAATCGGAGTATGCAATCTTCAATAATTCATGATAGTTAACTATTCATTGATTGGTAAAATTTATCAAAAAAAAACATATAAAACTGCTTATGTCTCCACAACAAAATCAATGTACGAATTTCTGGCACCTGCAAGCAATAGAAAAGATCTCTATCATCATATATACCAACTTTTAACTTGGCTAGATTGATGGTTTTTCCAAAATGACCCACACCGTTGTTTTTTCTACATATGTTTTGTTCTTCGCTGTCCTAGCAATCGTGAAAATGTGATGATGTTTTCAGTTCTTGCAGTGTTTTTTGTATTTTGAATTCTTTTCAACGCAAAATGACACAGATCCGAGACAGCTTCATATACAAAATTAGGAATATCTTCAACTTGAAGAAGGAACATCGGTGGCTGAGCCAGAATCACTGTGGTAACTTTAAACAAATGGAGGTAAAATATCACAGGAGGCCTCAGTAATTATTGAGACATGCCAATTGAGCTGGCATGAGAAAAAAACTAAAGAGCATGATAAGGCGGAAGAGAGCTGATAGAAATTAGAATGTGATGGTGCCTTTAATCACAATTCCGACTTTGAATCCATTGTCCAACATGAAACCAATGGTTTTAACAAGAATACTGATCCAGTTTATGATGATCAACAACATCAGAGACCGCGAGATTCAAAGAACATCCACAATACATGAAAGATATCATATTTGATCGAATCACACTCTCAAGAAAATGGACAACGGAAGTTTGCAGAAACTTATATCCTTGATCCAGATTTGCCTACAAATTGTCGTCTTGAATTGCTTAGGTTTCCTTTTAAACCAATGAAGAGGATAATAAACTGGAGGACTACATTGTTAATATTGGTGAGTATCATTACACATAATTCATTCAGAAACTCAAAAGCTAGAGAAATAGAAACAATGCTTTGCAAACCTCTCATAAATTACGTCAAATGGGAATTGGTAGAAACGTTGCTGAGTTTGTTCCAATCCCATTAAGCATGGGTTTCGTTAGTCTCAAACCAATATTTTATCAACAAAGGGATCAAGTATTAAAGTCCAATACTCGAAGGGCCGCACCGAAGCATTACAGATCAACATGTGTTTACTATATCAATTGCGATTGAGAACGGCCCTTGCTATTGAGAAGCGATACAACATCTCAAAGGAAGGAGAAAAGGATGTAAAATCTACTTACAGCTGCTCTTATTATCACAGGAAAGCGTATACAATCGTTGAATATCGCCAAATTACCTATGTGAGGATGAGGAGAGCTCACAACAGTCTCGACCTTGTTCCATCACTTCTTCTATTTGCCAAGGAGATCCTCTATCAGGAGAGTAGAAGAAAGAACCCCAGTTACTGTTCACCAAAGTTCTACTAGGGTACTGCTTTTCAAAGGTCAATAGATGTTTCATGGAAGGCAGCGTCTCAAAGTTCGAGGTCTGCAGTGAAGAATTTCAACAAAGAGCCTCCACTGAGGACAATTGAAGTGTTAAAAGAGCATCAAGACACTAAAAAGGCGATCAAAGAAAACACCAGAAAGAAACAGGGGATCGCATATTCTTCCATTGCAATCACTTCCAAGGTTGAGAAGAAGAGAGAGAGGAAGAGGATGACCAAAAAAGTTAGAACAAAAAAGGAACTGTAAGGCAAAAAACCTTACGGAAGAAGCTAAGACCAATAAACTTGCCCCACAACCAAAATAAAGTGGCTTTCGTATTGGCTCCTGATAGAGTACGTTACTTATTACTCTACATTTTTGATAGTTTTACAGTATTTTTAACAAACCATAATCTACCGCAGCAGTTCAGTTATTTTGACACCCTATTTCTGCTGAAATCACCAACTACTCCCTCCTGTCTACCCACTACTAAACTCATAGCGCATATTAGTGCATACTGATACATAATAGC